ATCTAGATCCCAAGGAAAGAAAACAAGCAAGAATTAATCCCCAGGGAAACAACGCTCTCCTGTCTCTGACAGTTACACTGGCTGCTCACAGTCTCTTGCCTTGGGCTGAGTGGGGGACGCCCATGTAACTGCTTCTGAGGGGACCCTGCAGGACCTGTGCCTTCCACAGTCCAGTGAAAATCCCTGCCGCCTCACAGGAAGAGAAACCTGGCAGGCGCTCCATCTGTCCCCTTCTTCCCTACCACGACCTGTTTTTGTTTGTTTGTTTGTTTGTTTCCATGGGAGCATTTGTTCCCATTTCCCTATGCCTTGTCAAAGTAAGTTTAATTTTGAAAGTAAAGCAAGACTGGGCATATTTTATATTCTTAGTGGCAAAGATCGTCGTAACTATCATCAGTCTAACAAGGGGATTTTGAGCAGATTAAAAAAATACCTGGAATTAGATAGGAGTGTGAACTCTGCAGACATACAGATTGTTTGGGTCAAGTTCCAACCGGTACAATCACCAGAACATTTAAAAAAAATCCCTGGCCACATAGTTAACCTTGCTCAGCTTTAGTCTTTATGAATGAGTGAACGATCCTGGGAGACTATTGTGAGGATTTATTCAGATGTCCTCTCTAAATCCTTCAGCCCAGCACCTGGCCCATCGTGTACACATTCACATTGGATGTTCAATACAGATGCCGCGAACGTGGCTCTTACTGTACCACCGAGAATGAAGACCCACGTTCAGTTCACGCGGTGGAAGGACACGCACTGGCAGGCATGTAGTCCTGCAGGCTGTCTTCTTTCTCACGCTTGCTGTGGCACGGGAGCCCCCCCCCCCCGATAAATACATGCTTGAAAACCTAAAAGGAGAAAACCGACTCCCGAAAGCTGTCCTCTGACTTCCACACATGTGCCCCTCACAGAGCACATGTACATGAACACACGCATATGGAGTAATGATGATAGTAATAATAATAAGATAATAATCATGGGTGATAGCATATGAAGGTTCTGTCCTGCTTATCCTGTGCCCACTCTTTCCCAGTGTGTTTGAGCATCGCCACAAGTAGCTTTTTATAAAGTTCTGACGTCCTTAAGGCAAATTACAATTGCAGTCCTCAGCAGCACTGATGAAGACGCAGAGGTATTGCATGGTAAATCGACATGAGAAGTGGACATGGAAGGGGCAGACCTTGTGCTGGGGTACTGAGCAATAGGACAGTTAGGGGTCTGGCATGACTGTGTCAGTCCCTGGACCTCAAACACAAAGGACAGTTTATTATCCCAGCATTTGTGGCTCTAGTCTGCCTTTCCATTCTGTAGGATACAATGGAGCGGTGAGTTGTTGGCCAGTGGCATAGTGGTTGTTGTCAGCGGACACTGTAGTGGTGTGGTTGTTGTCAGTGGACACTGTAGTGGTGTGGTTGTTGTCAGCGGACACTGTGGTGTGGTTGTTGTCAGGATACCCATATTTGGACCTTCTGTTTGTCAAATGAAAGCACAGAGCTAACTGGGTGGTTAGCCAAAACCATCTGTTCACATTGAGTTGATCCTTGCACAACAATGTTGCCCACTTCGGGGAGAAAGTCAGGTAATGATCGGAAGAGGGGTGCTTGGGAGGAACTCTCCTTAGAGCCCCTGGTGAAGCTCCAGAGGGCAGAACATTCGTAAATCAAAACCAAATTCTATCAAAGGGAATAATCCGAAATTTGAATTCCTAGATGTGCTATAATAACAGTTAGATTAACTTTAAAATTCCAAGGAAGTCAACAAAATGTAAATGGTGACATCTGAGGACTGAACTAGACATGCAGAAGAAAAGGTTGACAAAGGAATCTTCCCAAAGGCTGAGACACCATGTGAAACACAAGAAGATGAGGAGGCTGAGAATAGACCTGGTTGGTTCTCCATGAGACAGAGAGAATGTGGCAGAGGACATTAAAAAGCAGAGAACTGACTAACTTTGGTTTGCAAGGGTCTGCCTAGATCTGTATCTGGTGAGATTTTTACATGCAAGGATAAAAGGTGCATCACTAAAAATTTCAGAAAGAGTGCTGGCAAGACAGCTCATCAGGTGGAGAGCTAGTCTGTCCTGGCTGAAGGAGAGCGCTGACCCCGACCCTCCTGCTTTGACTACATGTGTGCTGGATTGTTGGTGCAAACTGTCACTCCTCACGGGTTCTAGATTTGGAGGGAAATGACCTGAACATATGCCAGTTAGAATGAAAATGTTTTAGACACAGAGCATGAATGATAAGAGCGTCTTCTATATAGTTTGTCTTAGGTATTGTTTTTGTCCTTAGAGACAGGCGCCAAAGGGATCCCAGCAAGAACTCACCTGGGAGAATGATGGTGAGAAGTCTGAACATGATTGTTTCTCTGGGTACTTCAGTAGCCTCCACTCTGAATGAGAAGTCGGATACCAGCACCACGGAACCAGTCTACAGGAGGAAGGTGGGCAGCCTTTCATCAGCGGCGGGAAGATGCTCTAGAAACATAGTTACAATCCTCTGCCAGTAAGACAGCCGCAAAAGTCAGTTCCTCCTCCTCCTTCAAATATAGGAAAATAAGTGGTCACAGGAGGAAGGTGGCCAGCCTTTCATCAGCTGCGGGAAGATGCTCTAGAAACATAGTTACAATCCTCTGCCAGTAAGACAGTAGCAAAAGTCAGTTCCTCCTCCTCCTTCGAATATAGGAAAATAAGTGGTCATTTGATATTCTGGGAAATAAAGAATTTTTCCGGAAAGTTGAATATGAAATGATCTAGATTCTGAAACATTAATGGTGTATAGCAAACAGCAATGGAACTTCTGAATAAATGCAGAATTTATTACAGCTGTCAAATACAGCTGTGCCTTTTGACTTCCCAGAGAAGTTTTCCATGTTCCTTAAAGATCAGCTTTTCCATAATGACTTTTTTGAAGAATTACTTTGCATAGCCAGTTAGGTGTAAAGGTTTCTTGTCATTTTCGTTCTCTCTCACAAACAAGAAATGTTCTTTTTATTGTTATCTACTGCTGCTACTTTTGATTTTGATTAGACAATTTATGAGGCACAATATCTAAAAACTTAAATTTCTGCATGTTAAGAAGTATAAACTAAATGGTGTTCAATAACTCTAGCTTTAATGTTTTATATTTGTGTAAACTATTCAAAAAGTTCCTTAGTAACTAATAGCTCTTATTTTGAAGGAATATATCCCTTCAGTCTAAGAAAAAAACCTTAAATAATTAGTTTTATTTTATGTGTATGGGTGTTTTGTCTGCATGTATATCTGTGTATCATGAGTGTGCAGTGCCTCTGGAGGCCAGAAGAGGGCACCAAATCCTCTGGAAGCGGAGTTAAGATGGTTGCTAACCACTAAGTGGATGCTAGGAACTGATCTGGGACCTCTGGAAGAGAAACTAGTATTCCTAACCACTGAGTTATCTCTCTAGCCCACATCCCTTTAGTATAATTTATTTATTTTTATTTTTTTGGTATCAAATCCAAGTCAAAATAAAGGGAAAATGTTTAAAGGAATCCTGACAAAAGTTATTCATGTGTGGTAGAATTGGGGTGATTTGAATATGCATTTAAATCATATATGTATGAATAATTCGCCTAATTTTCTACCAACAATAAGTTGCTTTTAAAATAAAAAACTTCATGCTATTTAATAATAAAAATTATTTTTCCCTCACCATGAAGTCTTCTTAAAACTCATTCCTTCCAACAATCGCTCACCTCAAACTTGCAGACATTTTTCCTTTTTATTGTTATTTCTACTTTTTTGAGATAGGGTCTTTCTTGTGGCCTAGGTGGTCTCAAACTCTCATTCCTCCTGCCTGTGTCTCCCAGTGCTGGGACTACAGGTGTGAGCTGCCATACTCTGCTGGAATCTCATTTAAAGACACTCAGTTTCTGACGATCCACGTGGCTGTGCTCACTGAGTGCTGAGAAGTGGCTTGGGCATCTTCACCATTTTCCTTCTGGCTGGTTCGGACCAATCTCCAGTCACTCCTATAAGAAGCAGGAGGGTGTCCCGGGCTGGGGCAGCACTCTGCCCACTTCTCCCAGGTACACAGCGTGGGCGAAGGACAAGAGAAAGTAGCAGGTCCAGGCTCTGGAAAGCAAAGTGATGGGCAGCTTCTACACCAGCAGATGTTTAAAAATTTTCCGATTAACACTGAAAGGCCTAAGTACTTACTGTTGAATTAGTACCCTCGACAGTAGGACCACAAGGCAGGAAAAGGCTCAACACAGACTGTCCTTTACTGAGTACCATTTGTGGGGCACAGCAACCTTTTGAGAAATAGATAAAATAATTTGTAGAGATTGGGCATTCTCATGCGGGGACTGAAATGAAAAGCGAAAGAGGGAGGGAACCACTCAGACGAGGGTAGTCTGGGTAACACCTTCCATGGAGGGGAGACTTGCTTTAATTTGTTTCCTTCCCGTGACGCACATACCCGGCTTTCTGCCTGCCCTGCTAGGAAGAGAGCGAGCCTGGGGCTGTGCTTGGCCAATTGTCTTCCTGAGTTCGTGCGTTACACGCTTGGTCCTCATGGTGGCGCTGTTGGGGGAGAGTGGGACCTTTAGGGGGGTCTCAAAAGAGAACTATAGAGGAAAGGAATGAATAGAGGGGGATCGAGTCGTTTGCAGCAGGATGAAACCCTCGAGGCAGGACGTAATTTGAAATTCACAGGAATCCTGCAGAGAGAATTAGGTCTGCACCCAGTTATTTGTTACCCCATCTTGACTGTCTCCACCAGGTGACTCATCAAGAAGGTCTGACTGGGTGACACGAGAAGGGAGCCCAACCGGACCGAAAGCCCTAGCTTCAGTGCGCCCCGACTGCTGCGTCTCCATAGGAGCGCGGAGCTGAGATGACCCTTCTTGTGGTCATCTATTGCAGGCTGCCCTGGAAGAGGAGGACAGCTTAGGCGAGGCCGTCATCTTAAAGGATCACAGCCGCGTGCAGGCGAGGGCAGTGTCGGAGAGGATGCAGCGGACAGGGTTAGCATTGGAAGCCGCTGGAGCGTGCGTAACGAGGTCTGCTGGGGAGACTGGAGAGCGAGGTGCAGCATCCATCACAGGCGCCCCATCTTCACGGGTGTCTAGTCCTTTCCGAGCACTTGTCTAGCGATGTCGGGGACTACCTGCAGCACCCGGCGAGGCTCTTGACAGTTGCTACTCGGGATTTCAAACAGCATCAAGGGGGAACTGGAGGGTGTTGGGTGAGGCTCGCCAGTAGGAACCCAAAGAGCGCTGCACAGGAACACGGAGCAGATCTGGTCTTTGCTTCCTACCTGGGGATGGACTAACTTCCTGACCTTAACCTACTAACCTAAGCGCGGGGTCAGACCTGGCACCGTCGTTCTTCCCTCAGTGGCCTTCCGAGGCTCAGATCGATGTTGTTTCCAAAATGGAACAAATTCAAGTCGCCAGCTCTCCGCTGGGAGGACTAAAAAGCTTCAAGACCGGTTAGATTTCCGTTTGACGGTCTGAGAGTTTGCGCATGTCGTTGTCTCCTGGGTGTTATTAGAGTGGAGTCCAGGAGCAGAGCCACACTGGGCACTATCTATACACGTGTGTCTGTGCCTGCTTCTCTTTTCCCAGTATCCAGATGGCCAGGCGGGGACCAGCACGCTCCATTTCACTCCTGTCCTGCATGCACTGGAGCACAGAAGGAAGAAAGAAAAGGACCAAGGAAACCAAGAACTAGACAAACACGAGGGTCCAGAGCTCCCTTTGTATAGCACAGTGCACAGTGCTGGCGTTGGGACTGGCATGGCTCTGTACAAGGTGGGCAGACAAACTCCAGACATCAGCTACAGTTTTCTCAGGGCTACTGAGAAGTTCCGGAGATGGATACAGATGCCAGTGGCACAGTAATGATTATATTTAGTGTCCTGCAGAGTACCTTGAAGAGTGGGTTATATGGGTAAATTTGATGTCACGTAGAGGATTAGAAAGGTGTGCTCATTTCTCTCCAAGGCATAACCAGAAGGGACACACCCCTTTCCCACCATGGTCCATTGACTATAATCCATGCTGTGAAGGAGGCTTGGAGAAGTAATGCCCAGCTGGGAAGGTACCACAAGGGCCGGCTTATTAAAGATGGGGGGTATGGGGGGGTGGGTGGAGGTGGGGTGGGGGTGTGGACACTGCTGGAAGACCCGTCATCTCACACATGACTCAGGCTTTATTTTCTGTAATCTACAACTTCAGGCTGACAAAAAAAGTGGAATTAATGTAATACCCCCACACACACATCATGGAAACTCATTTTTTCGTTGATTTAGTTAAGAAATACTCATACTTACTCTGTGTTAACATCATTGTAACAATGATGTAGGCTGAGATCATTGTAAATCCAACAGACTGCAGAGCAGATGCGGTCCCCTCACACTGTGAAACTGTCCTTTCACAGAGAGTAGAGCAACACAGACCGGGGAAGACCTGGAGATCCATGAGTGAAAAGAGAAAAGTTAATGTGCCGGAGGAACGCGTGGCCAGGTGACCCCTTTGAGTGGGCCGTTGGAAGTAGCTCTCGTGGCCATGCCTAGGTGCTGAGACCTCAGTTAGGAGCAGCCACTCAAAGCCCAAGAAGGTAAATACCAACCATGGGCACTGCACTGTCAACCCCCTGATGGGGGAAGGGTCTGTCGAGGCTGGTGCAGGACGGGGAGCTGAATTCAGAGGGGGAGAGAGAAGAGGTACAGAAGGCTGGTGGCAGCCAGGAGCAGGCTCAGGAGGACTTTGGGGGTCAGGGCAGTTGGCTCTCCAGCATTTGTTAGGGCCGAGCAAACTGTACCCAACATGTGTTAGGTCAATGAGCAAAATAAATGATAATCGCTTGTGCTTACTGATGCTTACAGGTCTCTGGCTTACTGACTGGTGAAGATTGAAGGTGAGCTGGAAACAGTGCTGTTTATAAGATACAGCAGCAGGAAGGAGCGTCAGACTGCACTGTGCTCGGTGTCCCAGCTTAAAGTACCATGGGGATGAGGAAGCTCTCTGGGGTCATCGGAAATGGGGTTCATCAAGTGCGTCGGCAAGGCTTCCAGGGAGTGCTGCTAACCACGTTCACAGATCATTCTCTTTATCAACTAGCTTCTCGTTGTCACATGTTCTGGTTAATTTTTTTCCCGTTATAAGCTAGAATCGCCTGGAAAGAGGGAACCTCAACTGAGAAAATGCCTCTGTCTGACCTATAGACAAGCATGTGGAGCTATTTTCTTGATTACTGATTGATGTGGGAGAGTCCATGCCACTGTGAGTGGTATCACCCCTGGGTAGGTGGTCCTGGTTTTATAGAAATGTAGGCTGAGCAATACATAGGGAGAGAGCAGTTCCTTCTTGGTCCCTGCTTCAGCGGCTGCCTTGGCTTCCCTCTCAACAATGAGTTGATATGCCCCGCTGTTGCTGCTGATTCTGTTGCTGCTATTAGACCTAGCCTTTCCCAGTGTTCAGTGTGGGGCCAGCAGCTCTCCAGGAACCTCTGGGCTTCAGCACCAGGTTGGTAATGGCCAGTTGTCACCTCCCTACAATGAGAGACAGTCATTACGGGAACTATAACTGCTGAGGCACCTAGCCTTGAAGATTGAGTGGATACTGCATTCTCTGCTCTCAGGTGTGATGGCTGCTGTTGTTATATTAAAATATTTTAAGTTATTAGTATTTCAAAACTGTTTTAATAAATCCTTTAGTGTGTATAATATGAACTAAAACCAAAGGTGTCTCACTAAACCAAGGCCAAGAAGCAGCAGAGCCCTGGGGACGTTCTTAGATAAGTAATGAAAACATCACAGAAATGCAAACCCCACCCAATGCTGCCATGGTGTGCAGCCAGCTCACAAACTCTTCATGTCTGTACGAACAAAGGAGAAATCTGCCACACAGTGCGTAGCTGATTACCCTCTCTGTACTGAGGCCTATGTAAGACTATGGAAACTTGTCATTCTACTTAGCTCAGGGCAGCTGGTGGCCAGCTCCATCTTGTAGGCAACTGTTGGGAGATGCATCTCTGCGCTGCTGCCAGCATGAGGCTGTGAGACTAGGAAACCCAGTGCATATCCATTTTGTGCATTTAGAACCTTTTTTTTAAGTTTAAAAGGTGCTCTTATCTCCCAGTTCTGGAGGCTGGGAATTCCAGAGGAAAGCCTCTCGGGGGCGTCTGGTCCCTGCACATCCTCTCTACCTCCAGTGTTTTCTGGAAGTCATTGACACTCCCCAGGTTTATAAACACATTACACTATTCACTTAAAAACTAACAAGCAAGGACACTAGTCATGTTGGACCAGGACAGACCTAATGATGCTCACCTTTATTATCTCTCTGAGGCTCTTTCTCTAAATAAGGTCACACTCCGGAGCTTCTTGGGAGACAGATCTCCTCCTGTTTTTTCAGGGAACTTCACTTCAACCCGCACTGCCAGGGTATTGCTTAACAGAGTCTATTTATGCATGGGAAATGTGGAAGGAAGGGACTAAGTAGGTCTGTGACTTTTTTCAATTACTTGGTGACATTCTTCTTCTTCTTCTTCTTCTTCTTCTTCTTCTTCTTCTTCTTCTTCTTCTTCTTCTTCTTCTTCTTCTTCTCCTTCTCCTTCTCCTTCTCCTTCTCCTTCTCCTTCTCCTTCT